CGATTTTATATACAACAAAGGGAAAATGTACATCAGACGCAAAATTTTCTTCGATAATAAAAGGAAAAATTAATTAATACGCAATATGTATTACATAAGTTTTCCGTCTCTATATCGCGAAAAATGTAAAATATCAACGTATAATTTTAACTGATATTACATAAATTGACCTTTAATTTGAAAAAAATTAATACCAGCAAAACTTGCCTTATATACGTAAATACTTTGAAGAAATTAAATAGTAATAAAGAAATTATAAAAATAATACCTATATGAAAACAATTTTGGATTTTAACACTGAAAGAGAAAATGAAGCGATTAAAGCCATTTAAATTAATGAAGCATGATAAATATTCCGTAACAAACGCAGATTCAACAAAAAGAGCAGTAAGACGGTCATTTAAAAAAAATTATAGTATATCATTGAAATTTTAGAAACAAAACATTTTATAAACATAGAATGATAAAATCGGCAAAAATTGCAAATATCTATAAATTAATAAGAATTAATCGTGAAGTAATAATTACATGTAAATAACAATTATTATATCACAGTTCGCCACTTTTAATAAAGACCGCATTCCAGCTGTGAAGTCGTGTATTCAAAGTGTTCCAATACTTTTACGTTAAAAGCAGAGGAAATGACAGTCGTGAAAAAAATTGCCAGGTGCGCTGAATCTGCGATCTTGACGATCGACTTGAATGCCAATCCATGACGCCTCGTTTTCATCAAACGAGCAATGTCGACGACGATCAGTTTTTATGTCCGCCAAGTCAAGTGCTCCACATTCTCGTCCAAGGGCGGAATGATCGTTAGAAGAATCTTATTCATTCAATCAAGACTCTCTCAACTTTTTTTTTTAGTCTAAGCTTTATAATAATATACATACATGTGTACAATATATGGACGAAAAAGGTATCTCCTGAAATATTATAAATTAAATATTATGTTATTACATATAGGACCATTACAGCTCTCTAAATTAAAACAAAAATAATTATTGATTAAATTATTGAATTGATATGACTATTTTGAAATATTGACTCAATAAACGCATGTAGAAATTGATTGGATCAAAAACCAATTATACACGATAAATGGGTATCTACTATATATGTATGAAACATTTATCAAGGCAATTTACTAGCAAAGGTATATAATTCCTCCTTGTATAAATGGTAGAAATATTTTTTTCAGAAAATACAAAGTAAAATATAATAATAGTAAATCGGTCATTAGATACTGATTTTCTGATCATTCAATTCTCCACTCCTTCCGTTTCAGATTATCGGCATTCGACATTTTCACGAATATAATTAAATAATTAAAACTTGACCAGGCCCAGGCGGCCCCTCGAGGACGGCTTAGAAGTTTTACTTTCTAGGCGAGAGCGACGTCGTTTGCTCACGTTCCTCGCAGATATGGGAATCCGTGTAGCCGCCGGGAATTGTGGCGCAATTGCCATCCTTGGACGCGAATCTAGAGCAACGTGCTCCGGTGTGCTCGACGTGTTGGAAACTGACCTGACCTATCAGCTTGGGGAAGACGGTAAAACTCCGATCGATCGCGAGATTGCAGAATTTTTACCAGAAAAAGCCCCAAAAAATTACAAATTACCAAATTTTCATCATTTATATTATTTAGATTTTTTATATTTAAATGACAGATGTTTTTCTGCATTTATATATATCGTTGAAGTATTTTTTAACAAGATATATGTATGTAATATATTTCGAAAGATTTTTTTTATCAAATATTTTTATGATCATCCCTATAATGGTTATAATAAATAATGAAAACGTGTAAGATTGCGAGACACGCTTGTCCATCCATTCTCGAATGATGAGAGCGATAAATCTTCGCGTTGAATACACTGAGAATGTCCGAAGGGAAGAAATTTACGGAATGATGATATTATTTGTAAGTAGAGTAAATCAAGCGAATAAATCAAATTAATCTAATAAATTACGTATATAATTTTATCCGATTTTCAATTAAGAAACAGGTCAGTCTGAAAAATAAGCGTAAATAATGAAGCTTGTTTTAAATAATCTGTAATTAATATACCCAACCAGAAATGATAGTTATATCGACGTCGAATTGACATCGAATCGATGTCAAATTGGTCGAATCGATATCGATTCGACGTCTTTTCGTTCTTTTTCCCATTGATATAATTATAATTACAAATCCATGTATAAAATTTTAAATGTCACATTATGTTGAGAATCATTAAATAAATAAAAAATAAAAAATTAGATTCAATTTTACGAAAAATTCAATTTTGTTGTATAATTAATAATATAATACGTAAAAAATAAAAATAGTATGGGACTTAATGCATCTTATCATAAAAATGCCATTTATTTACTTCAGAGTGCTTAACAATGATTTTGAGATCGACAAACATAAAATTGATGCTTCTTATACGCGTGAAATAATACGGTTCTCCATGTGATGAAATGGGTGGTGCTATCCAATACCCTTCACTTGCAAGCACTTCGAATTGCGCTGCGCAAATGACAACGATTTATTGCCAACGCTATTCACTCTGCAAAGAAATGTTACCGTACCGTGCGATTTATCCATGTTCCGCAATAAAAAATACGAGAACCAGTAAAATGTATAAACCTGACCTATTTCAGTTAACATAAAAATTATAAAGAAAACGGATAACAAAAAATTTAATATTCTATAAATTTATCATTCCCTCTTACTCTCTTTTTATATATAATATTGCATATTCTGCATATCCTTGCATATTGCACAAATTCTAGACCAAAAATATATAGAGCGCACTCATTCTTAATTGCAGCAACACTTCAACAAAATAAAGTGAAATAAAAAAATCGTTGGCAATATTGAATTTCTTAAACTAAACGATAAATTATATATACATATAAATATATTAAACATTGGTACAAATAAAATTAAATATTTATTTAAATATAATAATTAAATTTTAGATGATAAAGTTACTATTTTTAGGGAATATAAAAGTATTTAAAATTCTAATATATGTACACGGAGAGAATTTTCTCTTAAAATTTATCCTGAAAATCGTGATAATTGTGGTATTGGAAGAATTTTATAAGAATTATTCTGATTAATATTTACCACAATAAAAAATAATAGTAAAATTAATCGAACATATTTTATATCTTATTGTGATAGATATTAATATTTTTTATTGTAGTGAAAATATTAATCAGAGAAACTCTTATAAAATTCTTCCAATGCTATATTGTCCCACGATTACCATGATTTTTAAGGTAAATTCTTAAAATAAATTTTCTCTGTGTTACAATATAATCAATAATTAGAAATAATATAATTTAATTCTTTCATAAATATATTATATAAAATGACTTATGTAAATTATATTTCAATTTCATTCTCTGTTATATCTTTCCAGCTAAATACGCATATATAATATGGTTTTTGTTTATATCACATATCAAAAAGCCCTAGGATATGAAATGAATGAGTAAAAAGCAAAAGCTAATTAAAAATGAAAGTGCAATTCTCATTGAAAACGCACAAGCAAGCGTACAGAATATACATATCATAGTTTCTGCGGAAGTGATTAATCTTGCATTTTCTGTAAAAAAAGGCCTCATCGGTGCGAAACGCGTATTATATATACGAGAAATGTATATATAAGCTAAATATTGTATATAAGAGCTGAAACCACACAAACTAGACACATATGTGCAGGACATACATACACAAGCGCGGACTTTCATCGCGAAAGCGTGGCACGTTGTCGATCGAAATAAGATTGTATTACCGTATCCCGGAAGAAAACGGGTGGTTACCGCAACCAGAAGCGTCGTAAAACGCATTAAATAGTTCGTAACTAAATTACATACATAGGCCTCCCTCTCCCTAATGCCTAATATATCCGAAAGCGCTCCATATGCATATACATATATGTATACATTTCCTACATTCGAAAATTTTTGTCCGATACGCGAAAGGATAAGAACTCGCGAACTCTGTTATTACACGTCCTGTCGAGTGCTTTGCAAATTATATTAATTTTTACTGCTCGCGCCGCCTAATTGGCAATGGCATATGTAACGATATGTTTAATCATGTAACGTACATATAATTAGCAATGTGTTTGTACGATTGTGTAAGAAAAATAATCATTGATTCGATGAAAGATATTTCTTGAAAGCTATTTCTTTGAAAAGTTAAGCAACTTTTATTTCAAAAAGCTGAGCGGACAAATATGATAGACATATATATGATAATAAGAGATCTCTCTTTTACAAGAGATTTTTAATTGTATTTTTTTTAAATATATTAATTCAAAAAAATATTATTCAAGATTTTGGAAAAAATATATGAATACATTGAAAACGCTTTTTTATATTAACATAAGATTTAGGAAATAAAGGATATTAATGTCAGATATCGAACCGTATAATATTTTCCTCACGTATCATTTGTAAGAAAAAAGAATTATATAATACTCTTTTTTAATGACAGCGCGCACTGAAAAGTTTTAGAACGTTCACCAACGATCTCGCTATAACGTTGGTTTTATACATGATTTATCGCCTTTTTCCTGGCAAAACGCGAGATCGACGTGTATGCTATGAAATATCGTGCAAAAAAGAGGCATTAATCACTAACGTTAATCACTAATGGCCAAAACGTTCCATATTTGAAGTAGAAATTTCACATTACGAAGAAACTATGTAATATTCGTAAAAAATAATTTGTTGTTTTAAGCTATTAAATAAACTTTATAATTTAATTATAATAATTGCAATGTATTTGAAAAAAGAAAAGTATCTTTGTTGAAAAATAATATTTTAAATATTAATTTTTTATTATAAAAAATCTTTATATTATCATTATAATTTTCAACATTATTATGATTAAAATTAATTTTCCGGAGTTTAAACGCGACGCGAGATAATGCGAGCAGAAAAATGTAAACACGTGTTTGTGACAGCTAGCGACATCTATCGTCAGCTGTCAATAGTCGACGTCGACAAAGGTTTCGATTAGAGTGCATCTGAGAGTACATTTTCCGCATCGTACAAGTGCATCGTATAAATGGCCGTCGTAAAAAAAATAGCGTAATTGCAACAACAATAGGAATACATTTCTAAATTTGGCCTTTCGCGAATCTCCCGGTCGTCGTGTGTGCGTGAAGAAAAAAAATTCCCAGCGATGTTGTCGATGGACGGCATCTGTAACGGCAACAACGTCCACTATGAGGTTAAATCTGTCAACCATCTCGTTAATTGAAAGAAAAAATTGACAGGGACACAGAATGAGCTATTCCGAAATGACCTTGAAGACCTCGTACGGCGAAAGCGCGAAATTCAAGATTCAGATATATAAATATAAAAAGGAAAAAGACAAAAAATTAATAAATGCACAACGCATAGATGCACCACATACCCACTGATGCAATTGACATATATTGAACATTTATCAATATAAATATAAAAAATATCAAAATTTATCGTGACAGTGCTACATTATTATATGTTTTATTTAAATACTCTTTATTTCTTTTCTCCTAAAAGAGTTTAAGAACCTGTATATGTTTATTTTATTTTAAACATAGAAAGGTATAGTTCAGACTTCCGTTTTAATATTAAGAGCTGACAAATAAATTTAGTTACTTATTTCTCTTAGCTCATTTTCATTAAAATATATTTAATGAATAATATAAATAATTGTCATATATTATAATATTGCAGGAACTCGTAAGGATAAAGCAGGAAAAGAAATCTGAAGAATATATAGGAGAGTCTTTAGGTTTAGCTAGACCTATCGAATGGACTTACACAATGAGAAGATATATGCAGGTAAACTTAAACACAATTTATAATATATTTCTTAACAAAGATTAAATTTTATCAGGATATTCTGCTAATTTTGATTGATAACAAACGTCATACAAATATGAATTTGCAAAAACGTTTACTTTTCAATTTTTATAGTTTTTAAAAACAATACAGTTAGAAATAATATAGTTAAATTTGTCATTTCTCTTATGTTTACAAAGAGAAAGAGAGTATTACATATTACTATAACTAAATCTATTGTGCATTGTACACAGGAGGTAGTACCTGGTGTATTTCTTGGCCCATACAGTGCTGCTAGTCGCTCAAATTTTCAATCTTTGCTGGATAATAGAATAACACATATAATTTGCATCAGACAAGCTATTGAAGCAAATCTTATAAAACCCAACTTTCCGCATAACTTCAAGTATGTAGTATTTTAACTATATATTGAATTATTTATTTTTTATATTATATTTTTCTATTCTCAGTGATTAATAAAATTAAATTTATTAATAAAATCTTAATATTTGTAATATTTTCTGATTTTGCTATATAATCTTCATATCTTTATATTTATTTTATAATATTATTAAGATCTATTTAAAATGAATATTCTTAGTACTGTGTCTCCCTCTTTTTAATTTTTAATGTAATTTTATTAATGTAATTTTTGATGTAATTTTTATTACAGAATTTTTTATTTTCTTTAATCATTATATTTTGTATATATTATATCCTCTAAAGATATCTAGTATTGGACATTGCGGACACAGTGACGGAAAGTATCATTCAGCACTTCAAGAAGGTAAAAGTATTCATTGACGAAAGTTTGAATTCAAACGGAAGAGTTTTGGTTCACGGAAATGCTGGTATTTCAAGATCAGCTGCCTTGGTTTTGGCATACGTTATGGAAACATATGGAATTTCTCACATGTAAATTTTTTTTATAATCTATACATTATATCATTCAATCTAAAGCTATTTAAAAATTTTGAATATAAAATTATATGAAACTTATAATTAAAAAATATATGTAGATATTTTAGCTCATTCTATTTTTCTTTGACCAACAGTATGAAAAATGCATTTCATAAATTACTTTATAATTAATTTTTGTTTGCACTAAAATTGCAATAACAATAAATTCTTGAAATGTACAAATTTATTGCAGGGAAGCATACCTAATAGTGCAACAGCGAAGATTTTGTATAAATCCAAATGATGGCTTTATGATGCAACTGAGAGAGTATGAACCTATCTATAAGGCTGAGAAGATGTTGAAACGTAGTCAACAAAACCGGGAAGGTCAACATAGGAAACGAACAATTTATCAAATGGACGCGAATAATCAACAAGAAAGGATGGGAGATGTGATTAACAGTTAATAATAATTGGAGCAGGGAGCAAATCAAAATTATCAAAATTTGTCAAACTGTCATTTGTCAAAATTGAATCAAACTAACCAAATTTACTTTTCTTTTTAACCGCGCTTCATGCAATCAATTTTCCTGTACTACTCTTTTAAAAATCGTAAATGTATGTATAGTATTTCAAAAAAAAGAGTAAAATTTGGGAACTAAATCCAAACCCCAATATTTTGGTAAACACCAATATTTTAACCAGCATTTTAATCACAATGACTAACATTTGACTCGATGACAGTCTAATCGAATTGATTAGACTATTAAATTATCTTGTGAAATATATCAAAAATATTTTTTTTTCATGTAGTTTTTTCGTTTCTGATGTCATAATTTTGACTAACGACGTTTCAAGATAGTCCTAGAATGAATTATCTTAGTTTACCATTATAAATTTTAGCTATCTAAATATAGAAAATACCTAATAAAAATCTGATAAAGAAAATAGATATCCAAAGGTTAATATGTCAAAGTAATATGTAATAGGTACTCTATGCTCTATTTTTTATTTGTGAAGATCCTCGATTGTTTGTAACTATTGTTAAAAAAAGACATTTGGAAAATATACATGTATACATATTATAAATCATATTTTTTTAACTCCTTTTCATTTTGCCATTATTTATTTTCCTTATAGGCATAATACTTAAGTTTAAATAATATCATATCAAAATATTTTATTCCGAACTCGTCATAAACTTGCTTTTAGTAAAGTAAATTTCTTTCATTTTTTAAATACAGTGTCCTTTGAATTATTTAAGTTTGGCTGGAAACTCTACACATATTATTTTCTCTTTATTCTCGTTCACGAACTCCCACTTTATATTCACGTTCACCTAAAGAAGAGATAATAAAGGATTACATTTTTAATATTAAAAGGTGTTTTAATTAATTTATTATATTAGAAAATACTTTAAAATGACTAAATTAATATATTACATACATTTAATAAATTAGAGATTTAAAAAATCAAATTTTTGTTTATTATAATAAAATTTAATAACGTATAAAAAAAATACTATAGATTAAATTTAAATATAAAAGCAAATTTAAATTATATTAGATCCAAAAAATAAAAATATAAAAAGAATAAATATAAATTGTAAATGCTAATTACCGCAGGGTATGTTTTCTGCACGAACAATGAGGTTGTATATTGATACTCTTGATTCTTTTTCAGAGGACACTTGATTCCATCATTAGGGTCCTGACATACGTCAGGTTTGTCGAAAGGAAAAGGTACTGGAACGCCAAACAATATGCCATATACAAGTACGTTGACATGCTCGATGTCCTGGTCTGCAAATAAAATGCACGAATAATCGCTATGAATAGATAACACTGATATATGTATAAGTAATAAAATATATTTGGACTATTTTAATATTAATATTTTTTATTAAAATATAAAATAATATATGTATATAAGTTATATTATTAACACACATTATATTTAATATTTGATTTATATGTACATACACATAAATTAAAAGATTTCCGATAAATTTTTCCAATAGAAATTTTTGTACTTACTTGGCGTGAATTTGATAGATATTGACGCGTTAAAACCGCGTACTAAAGTGCATTTTACGTCAGACGGATGACATTCCGAGACCGATACTTCCGTAAAACCTCCCAATGTTGAACCTGAAATAAAATGGAAAAAAATAAAGATAAATTATATCAAAGTCCAAATATTTATAAATGGTGAATAATCTGTGTATTAAAAATATATCACAGATAATATAATAGTATGAAAGAATAAGTGTGTAATATATGGTATATGAAGAAATAGATCACATATAGATAATATGCGATAGTATGATAATATGAAATTGATAAATGTGTCACAAATAATAAATACCTATATTGAGTAACAAAATATTAAATATATACCTATTTTAAAAAATACTACATATATATGAAAAAGACGTAGAAAGAAAAGAAGAGACTGTATATTTTCTTTCTTTGCAATAACGCAATAAAATCATTTAATTTTATATGTGAAATTATATATAACATATAATTATATAAAAGAAAATAATACAATAAATCTTTATATTAAATCTATAATTATAATTTTTATATATTTTTATATACACACACACACACACACACACACATATATATATATATATATATATATATATATATATATAAAATTTCAACAAATTTAATTGCATAACTTTCGGTTGAAAGTTTCTTTGAATAATAAGAAATATCTTAAATAAATAGTTACTAGTTTTCTGCTGACATTAACATCAAACTTTATCATTCTTTCTTATGCATATTTATCTAAAACGATAACTCAATCATCGCATAAGACGCGAGTAATGTGCATGTACAATTATCATTAATTTTTCAGTAAATATAGCACAAGAATGTATTACATATACACATCTTCATTTTTGATTGATCATATATATATCGAATATAGATAATGTAATCGAGAAGTAAAAGTTTCGAAAGTGAAAAACAAGACAAAATGTGATGCATGTCTGAAAAGAAAAATGTATAATCTATTTTACAGACTAGAATTATAATAAATAAAAAAAATACATTTTTACTGTCTTTTGTAAAAATAAAAAATTGCTTAAATTTCCGTTCTTAAAATAAAAGATATAAATATATATGTACATAAAATATGATTAATATGAAATACTTAAACGTAAAAATGTTTAAACTAAGGCAACTGAAACAAAGAAATATATTGATACCTATATATTGATAAATGTAGAATATAAAATTTAAATAAAAATAGCAATGCGATGATTTTCGTAATTATTATTTCGCAGCGATTGCGGATAATCGAAGAGAACTTAATTATTTTCTACAACAAATATGCAAATAAAAATAATAGACGCGTTTATGACACTATATAGATGCGTTTACGTTTTCATTAAAAAAGCTATAAAAATCATTCATCGCGCATCTACTTATGTTAAATATTTATACCCATATGCTTTTTATCTGTCTCTTATCTCTGTAATCTGAACTCATTGAAATTAGAGCTCGTCTCTGCTTTATTTACATTCAAACAGACCATGAGTAACAATAAGGGACTTTATAAAGAGGCAAATAAAGAAAGAAATAAATTCCAAAAATAAGTATATAATGACTAATAAAATAAATAAAATGGACTTTTTACAATAAATAGTTTTCTTTCTTCGAACAAATATATAATCTTTGTCTCGTTCGAGAAGTTAGAATATAAATTTTTTTATTTCAACGATAATATATAATAAATATGATAAAATTTATGATAAATGTTGCGCCTTATTCCCAATTAACAAATAATTACTGACGTCATTTTGCTACCTGCGAATTCTTTTTATCATTATAATTACGTTGACGTTGACTATACATATACAATAATACTATACTATTATATGTTAATTTTAAATTTTAACACACACACACATATATATATATATATATATATATATATATATATCATTATTATTTCTATATATCTCTCATCTCTCTACATTACAATAAATATTATAACTATTTCTATCAAGAGTTTAAGATTGTAAAAATACAATAAATAATTGTTTAAAAATACTCTTTTATAAAGGACCGCAATAATTGTCATTTATATCTCAACTGTAACATAATATATTAATAATAATTTTAATTTCATTTAAACGGATTTACATATAATTGTATATATATATAACTGCATGTATGATCTGTGGTTTTAAATTTTTCCTATCAAGTTTTTCTAATTTTAAAAATCAGGATAAATGAATTTTATACAACATCCTTCTCTTAAGAATATATATAATTGCACGTCAAAGTTTTGGTAAAATGCACATGTGCATTATGTGCATAATGTGACTCACCGCAATCCGTGAACGTGACAGCAAGACAAGACGCAATACAACACAGAACGCATAGAAGTGCAAACACGACGCTCGCCAATTGTCTCATGTTGCTTACAAGTTTAGGCCGATGCTGCTGCTTGTACGACTTCCGCGCTATTAATGACACTGGATCGCTGTGAAGGCGTTATATACAAAGCACGCCGCATTCACCGACAGACGCGCCTCCGATTCGATTTTGTCACCGTGAGATACCAACCGAGCTGCTGCCGGAAATGAACGATTTTTGCGCGATCAAACAACAGCGACACACGCTCTTTTCCTTATTTTGTTAACAATTAATTTTCTCGATGTCAATGTTCTTTCTACTTTATTTTTAGTATCCTATTTTTTAGGGAATAACATTTTCTTTGAAAAATTATATTATATCTTATTATATTAATATACAGGGTATTAAAATTTAGATCGACAAATTTTAAAGAGAAATAAATTTTAAAATAAACATATTTCAGTTAATACTATTTTTCTCTAAAAGTAATAATTTACTTTCTCCTAGTAAATGCTTAAAAATTTCTAAAGCTATATAAACGTTGTAGAGAAAATTAATTAGTATATTAACAAAAAATATATTTTATTTTAAAATCTTATTCTTTCTCCCTTTAAAGTTTGTCGGTCTAATTTTTTAACATCCTGCACATGACACACTATATATATATAAGATATATATTAGATTAGATTAAAAATTAGAATATTTTCTGAACGTATCTTTTTTAGATATGCTATATATATATATAGCATATAAAAATATTATTTAATAACATATTGCTCTCAAAATATTAATAAAATATTTTAGAAACGTTATTTTAACATTATATATATATAGTGACCATGGTAACTTTGATATCGATTTAGAGGTTTCGGTAATGTTAAAATAACGTTTCTAAAATATTTTATTAATATTTTGAGAGCAATATGTTATTAAATAATATTTTTAAAACATTTATAAAACATCAGTTAAAATATTTTTTAAATATTATTAATAATAATATGTATAATGCAAATAAATTTCGTGTATCAATCAATTTTACATCATATATTCTCTTTGAAGGTCATATTAATAAGTCAATATGATATCACAAATAAGTCACCGAAAAATGGGATCATTATGGTTTTTTCAAAATGACTTTTATAAGTGACGTTAGAATAATGTTATTATGAGTTTTATGTTCTATCTGGACTACGACAATAAAGCGCTAAATAAAAAATAAAGATCAAAACTAATATAAAAGACTAAGTTTTGAAATAAAAGAAAAAATTGATTTTTGGAAAGATGAATAAATCATAGGATGGCTAAAGGACAGCTATACTTGAAATATAAAGGACTGTCCTCTAAAATAAAAGATAATCATGCACCGTATGTATAGAGGAAAAGTAACAACGGCGCTATATTTAGAAATACATTAATAATTTAAGAAAACGCTATTTTTTTGACAGATTGCATAAAAGATAAAACGTGTCTTATGTTATTTATTTCTATAACGCTACAAATGTTAAGTGTATATATATCATTACATATTTTAAAAGTTTTCCTGTATATTAATAATACTCTATCTATACATATAGAATATATATATAGTATCTCTTTCTATCTATCTATATATATAGAAAACTCTCTCTCTATAACATTTATTATTCTATACATGCATAATTTTTGTCCATGTGCTATGCGTTGACATATGTGATAAAATATGACGGAATTTATTGTATAAAGCTGATAACGTGTTCACTCTTTAACATTGGAGAAAATAATTCATCATGGTTGCCGTAAAAATGTCAGTTATGTGTTTTACTTAATCTTCGCCGGGAATTTTATACATATTATCTTCTCACCTTTTTCATTTACAAACTCCAACATAGCATCAACACTCAACTAAAAAATAAAAAAGCGCGTTATTTATATTGAAACAAGAAAAAATATATCGATAAGTTTTACTAAAATAAAATAAAATAAAAAATATGAAGAAATAGAAAATAAAAAAATTTTTTTAATTATATATAGGGGAGACCGGGGCGAAGTCATCATTACATTTATTTCGAAATCTCTATATATGTTATGTGAACTCGTTGTTAACGCTATATTTATAATGTCCACGTGACCAACAGAATTTAGTGAATTATATGTCATATTGTGATTTTGATTTTACAACAAACGTGTTTTCAGTATATAGTCAAAACTGAAAAAAAGGTGACAACTTTGCCCCAGTCTCTCCTATATACATATATGTATAGATTATATAAATAAATAGAATAATATATATTAATGTTAAAATTCCATGCACATACCGTTGGAGTTTTCTTCTCCAAGAATAACTTGGATTTGTACACAACTTCCTGATCCTTTGTCAAAGGACAATTAATCCCGGAATCCGGGTCCTTGCATACGTCAGGCTCTTTTAAAGGAAAAGGTACAGGCACATCGAGTAACACGCCAAATGCACGCATTTCAACTGCCGAAACATCTACGTCTACAAAAAGATAATTAAATTAGATTTTCATATTAGCACTCAAAAAATTGCACTCAAATTATTTAAGTGATATTATATATGTTTTTTTAATTACTCGCAATTTAAATATTTTTTCTAAATAAAATATTTCAATATACATATATACATATATATTTCATTTTTAATTACCCGCAATTTAAATATTTTTCTAAATAAAATATTTCAATGTACATATATACATATATATTTCAATATGCAGTAGCGCATTTAATGTTATACTTCTCGCTGCAACGTACAATTTGCAAAAATCGAAAATGTATAACAAAAGTTACAATTCTTTTACTAACTTGGTGTGAACTTTATAGTCGAAAGTATATCGATTTCACGTGGAAATGAACACCTCTCTTCGGACAACTCTTCACAACTTGAAATCGTTATTTCGTTAAGTTTACCCACCTCCGAGCCTGAAATTGATTTAAAATAATTTCAATACGAATAATTTTAATAATTTAATGTAAACTAAAATAAGTATATGATATAAAACTATGAAGTCACCAGATGATAATTAAAAAATGGTAATAATTCAATCGACCAATTCTGGCAAATAATTAAATTTATTGAATTTTCACAACGTTTCGGCCGTGGGTTTCGGCCCTTATCAAGTGCTATGTTCTTAAATCAAAGTAAATCATAACTTTTTTAAAAAACAAAAATTCGATCTTAAAATATGACATTATATAATAACATGATAGTATAAAACAAAATAACTATCCATAGTTATTTCGTTATTAATTAACTATCATAGTTATTTCGTTTTATACTATCACGTTATTATATAATGTCATATTTTAAGATCGAATTTTTGTTTTTTAAAAAGTTGTGATTTACTTTGATTTAAGAACATAGCACTTGATAAGGGCCGAAACCCACGGCCGAAACGTTGTGAAAATTCAATAAATTTAATTATTTGCCAGAATTGGTCGATTGAATTATTACCATTTTTTAAAATAAGTATGTATCATAAGTATTTATTTAATTAAATAAACATTAATGCTCTGCATAAACATGTCGCGTGAAGGCGTTTGCTAAATACGTATATTGCTATACAAATTATATATTGCTATACAAATATACCTCATAGTAAATAATAGTGTAACAATTACACCTTGTAATAATACAAAATTGTAGGTAAACTGTAATTTAATTGTGCATAATCTAAGAAACACTGAAGATGCTACGTAATTAATAAATGGCTTTCCGTCTAATATGTTGCTAATAACTTCCGATGTTACATCCTTAATTAAAACAACCTTCAATGCAATGTTTCTCCTATAATTTGTGGTTAAAAAGCAAAGTAATTGATATAATACATTATTATAATGACAGAAAGGTTGCAATTTTTATAAAATTTTCATATATTATTGTCTATGAAATTACAATAATTTAATTGTTTACTTTTTCTTTATCGAAAAAAATAATTAATTAATAATCAAACTATATCAAAAGCAGTAAAATACAGTATTTTCGTTTTATCAATTTTAAAGCTCAAATATCTTATTGTATAGACATATAACAATGTACGCGCGCAAATTATAGTATTTGATGATTAAATCTTTATCAGCACTTTCTAAAAAAAATTTTTTTAAATCCTGGTTTAAGTCTACAAAATTAAACTAATATTTGTATACATATAAATTTATATACAATGTTCTAATATCATATTTTAATTATAAATTCTTAAAGCAATTTAGATACAATTCTTTCTTAAATAATAATAGAAAAATTATTTTTATTTTTTCAATTTCGGCACTTTTTCTAACATTTAATATTTATATATAGCTTAGATCATAAAATTTCAAATTAAAATTTTATTAAAGGATTAACTTATTATCAATTCTCTCTCGTTAAAATTATTCTATTTTACATAATTAATTAGACAAAAATTATAAAATGCCTTGGTATTTTAGTTCAGAAAAAATTGATTTCAAATTTAAGAAATTTATAACAAAAAGAATAACATAATTCTGGTATAACATTTTATATATATAAATATATAACACATACATTGTACATAAAAATAATTAAGATATTGGTGTCTTCCATCATTAGTGTTTTCCATGCTGTTTTGCGCGCACACGTACAATTTAAATTTAATAATTTTAATTATTAAAATTTAAAAATAATAATAATAATAAAATATTAAAAATATAATAAAAATAAAATAATAATAATAATAATAAATTAAATAATAGCAAAAAATTAAACATTTCTTAGATAATAATTGATACTCTTATACAAATAAATATATATTTAAAATTATTAAAATGCAAACTTACCACAATCCTCGAAAACGAAAGCGAAAGAAGATACTGTGCAGCACAAGACGCACAATAGCGAAAAAGCAACATCTTTTCGTGACATGTTGCTTCCACAATTTGCACGTGAATATTAATGTAGCCGTGTGAGATTCGCGCGTCTAAATTTATAAGATCGCGCTTATCTAACGCGAAAACACAACTTACAATTAGCTAATTACTATTAATGATAGTGAGATTATTGATGTGTATAGTTCCAAATGAATATGGGCTTCATGCCGCTTCATAGCAATTTCAAAATGTTATCAAATCATATATATATACTATCAAAATGCATATCAAAGATTTATAATAACATTTATAATAAGAAAAATGTACATAGATATAAGAGATAAAATATATTAATTATATGTATACCTTTTTTGATATAAAATTAAAATATATTTGTAAGTATATTTTTTTATATTATAAATAATATTATTTTAAAATATTATTTTCTATATTTTATAATATAAAATATTTTAGAAGTAAGAAAATTTTAATTTATTAATATTTGAAATTAAAATTTTACGTGATAAAGATATACATAACAATTCAATTCTCTTTAATTTCAGATAAAAAATAATTTTAAAAGAGAATTATTATGCTTTTTTTTATAATTTATAATTATTATTAATTTATAATTGCAAAAAAGATTTAATTATAATTATAAAAAATAATTTTGAAAAAATTATACTTTTTTTAATAAAAGAGAGACGCGAGATATCGTCGCAGCTGTTTGAATCGTTCGCGCGTTTTATTACATATCGCAGCGCCTCGATAGTGCCAGCATCAGTCGAGAGGAAGTGACGTCCGTACAGCGCATCATCCACGTAGCGTTTCGAGTACTCGCGCAAAATATTCCGTAGCGATTCGTTGACAGGTCACTTCGTGCAACGTACTTGAGTAACGCATAACGTGAGTATCTACGTCTCTCTTTTCTATTTATAATTTTCTTTTCTCATTTTGGGACAAATTTTATTTCTCTCTCGCGAAATACTTGCTGTGGTACAATTTCCTATAAAAGAGATTTATGACATAACCCAAATATATAATCTTATTTACCCAAATCTTATTACTTATTACCTTAGTAAAGTGCAAAATTGTGATTTTCATATCTATATGTTGAGTGAAATATTTTTGGTGCATCGTATTGCGTGACAAATTTGATGACGTTTTATAAAATAGCTCAATATTGTTCACACACAACATATATGTATTAAAATTCATAACCTACATTTTGCTTCATTTGTCAAAGTACAAAGTTAAGCATTTTTAAATTCGTATGTATTAAATAAAATATTTTTACTTAATCAAATAAAATACATATTTAATATAAAATAAATATTTTTGTACCGCAAAGTAACATCATGTGATGGTATTATAATGTTACAAAAAATATAGTTAATATTCAAGAGCTTGCAATATTTCTAAAAATTTAATTATTCTTTGAATATCTATATTAGTTGATAAATTGAGCATATAATTATTTTTTCGAATAAATTTTATTTTTGTGCAGATTCTCAATCGCTATGGATCAAATCAAGAAGCTCACCGAGCCTGGTCGCCAGTTTGCTAAGGACAGTATTCGACTTGTCAAAAGGTGCACCAAACCAGATCGCAAAGGTAATTTATAATTTTGATTATCCTACATATAAAAGTAAAATATAATATGATTCAGTCATAACTTGTGCTTGTATATGTTGCAGAGTTCCAAAAGATTGCTATTGCCACTGCGATTGGCTTCTGCATAATGGGCTTCATAGGATTCTTTGTTAAGTTAATTCATATTCCAATCAACAATATCATTGTGTAAGTTTTTACAATATTAGCATATCTTTGTTTAATAACATAAATTTGTATTTAAATATATTTATTTTTTTCAGAGGTTCATAAATTACATCCTGAGATTCTTATTACCTTTAAGAAGATTATTGTTAAGATTCCATAAGGCTACTTCCGTTGTTATATGTATCTTTATTCTTATTATTTATAACAAAAATGTTTACTCTGTACTGAGTTGATTTGGCAAGTGAGATAAATGAGAGAGATGTGTGCATAATATTAATGAATTTTATAATAAAACAATAATGTAAAATCACCTATTTTCTTTTCATTAATAACTAAGAAAAATAATTATAATCTAGAATATATCTAAAATATAATTGTAATATTTTTGTTTGAAAGTATATAATCGATAATTTTTATTTCTCTGTTTTATGTTATATTTTATGATTAGAAAATTTCTAATTTAATTCAAATCGAAATTTCAAATAAAATATTAACATATGTAAGAGAGGATTCTAAAAGTTTAGGTTTTTTTAGTATTATAAAGGCACTTTTATTTAAAGAATAAAATTTTTTGTCAAAGTTACAACGATAAAATTTTATTGACCGTTTTTTCCACATCGCTCGCAACAGTATTAATCAGAATAATTTGCGGGAAAAACAGCCATAATGCATGGAAAACCATAGCCAGGTACTGAGTAATATATGTAGAAGATAATAATAATGCCAATTCTCTTTGTTAGTGAAAATCTGGCAAGTTTATTTTACTAATTTGCAATTTAATTTTGTTTCAAAAAGTGACGCTTACTTTCTAAAAGAAAAAAATTTGACGATTTGCTGATAAAAAAAGAATTCTTAGATACTAGAAGCCACATCATTATTCGGGATCTTAGCACTGGCAGTATTCAAATAAAAAGGATTATGTATTTAGAATCACGGAGGTTGCGTACAATGTAAATTTACGATTTAAATAGAGCGTAAATTTATTGAAGCGCTTTTAACGGATTCTTTAACATATTTTCTTTTGATACATTAACTTAATATTATTTTTAATTTCAAAATTAAATATCTCGATCTGACATTTAATCAGTTGAAAATTAAACTATTAAATACTCTGTTCTGGCAACTTAATAAAAATTCTATAAAAAAGAGGGTAGATAATCCTATATAGCACCATTCACACGTGTCGCTGTGTATTGTGTGATATCGGCACGATTGCCATATTTTCGCGATATTACAAGTCATACTTGGATTTTACTTAATTTTGTAAATTCCGTATACTATCGTAGGAAAGAGAGTTAAAAACGCGAAAGATTTTATCCGCTTTGCTTTGCTCGCAAAATGCTGGAAAATCTTACGGTTTTATTAATATGACAGTAGCAACACTCCGAAGAGGGAAAGGCATTTAGTCCACAATTTTATAAGCGTTTGTTTCGTTAATTAAAAATTACAGCATTCCACTAAAGATCAAACTAACTTCCATAAAAAAAATTACGTGAGAAATCGTCTTATAAGCGTAGCCCAAAGTGCGTTTGCCAAAATAAAAAAACAAAATGAGAATAATATAAAGAAATCTTCAAAAAAATTAATCGATTCAAAATCTAAAAGTATTTTGAGGCATTGCTCAAAAATTAAAATTTCTCTTTTAATGATATTATAAGGAGATAAATATATTTTTAAAAAATATATATATATATTTCAAAAAATATATTTCAAATATATTTTAAAAAAATAAAATTTCTCTTTCTTTGATTTAGAAGTATCAAATTTAAATCTTAAAAAAAAAAAAAAACTTGGTGTCTCTCTCTCTCTCTCCCTCTCTCTCTCTTTCTCCCTCAGCAAATTTGTGACAATTATCATGTTATTGCAGAGTGAGCTATATACATTATATTGTGCTTGCTTTTCTTTGGCATTATTTTGTTTTTCTTTCTATCTTCTTTAGGTAATAATCTTTCATATGAAACTTGGTTCGATACGTGATTATATTAACCGCAGTAAAAGCTCAATTTGCAAACGCACTGAGGGAGGGTAACAAATTGAGGTATATTCGTTAGGCACGTAATTCTCTGTTCTTCAGAATCTAACATTTAATAATCGTCATGTAATTAAGTGTTCGGTTAACTGTTAACAGTACAGGCTTATTTATGCGATCGTTTCTGCGTATGTATATAATACATACATACAAAGTGTCTCAAATATGTTAAATCATTATTTTTACAAAAAATTATTTTTCAACTCTCTCATATAAAATTAATAAATAATTTGTAATTAGCGTAAAATCTCTTTAAGATAAAAATTTACATGCTTTACTTAGTAAATTTCATGCACTTATATAACCGTACGAAAAAATTATATAATGATACGCCATCTTTGAGACACCCTATATACGTATATATTTATATATTTATATAATATATATGTTTGTATAAAATATATGTGCGTACGTACATAATATTAAATATCATTCGCGTTACTCGTAATTATATAAGTATCCTTTGAACGCACGTAATCAACTTTGATAATCAATATCAATGACAAATTTATTTGCACCGGGATACTCTGTCTCACTGTTTCATGAATCCGAGACACGCACTTCGCAAATAAGTAATTAAAGAGCTTTTATTCCCAAAAAATATACTAAATTTCTTTATATACTAAATGTAAATTAATTATATGCTTATTTTTATATATTTTGTAACTTTTCACAACTTTAACAACATATTATTTATAAGAAAAATGTATAATTTTATAAAAAAAATTTTATATTCTAAAATAAAGATCTTTCTTTTTTCTAATATTTAAAAACATTTTAAAAAGCAATTTAAAAATATTTTTTTTCAATTACCAAGTGTTCGATGAGCTGTGCCTCGGTTCTCGCTTATTATTTAACAACGGAATATATTTTAGCAATGCTCGCTCGGCTCGCTAATTTTTTCGTTGGTGCGACAACCGTAAAAAAAGATAAAGAAAAAAAATATTTGTTAATTAGCAAAGATTTTGAAAGTTTTGTGTACTAAGGTATAAAAACGTAATTCTTTTTAATTATAACTCAAATGATAACTTCGGTACTTTTGAAAATTAATAATCGTGAAATGAATAGAATTATAAAAATATTCTTTAAAGAATTTTAATCAGAAAATTAATGATATAATTAACAAAATTAAAATTAATAATATATTTAATTGACAAATAATTTTTTAATATAAAGAAAGAGATTCTTAAAAAAATTCTTTATTAAATAGTCTAAATAATGTTTTAAATAATTTTCGTAGAGTTACGAGAGAGCATCACTAAGACATACAGTCCGTCCTTCTACCTTACATTATCGATTACATTATTAATAAGGCCTTAAGAATGTCACAGTACGGTTATTACGAAGGAATGTCTTCAAGCGTTCTCTACGTCGAACGTTTTTTCGAGTATAACGAGAGCTCATTAGAAAAAAAGGAAGAAAAACAAATGAAATGAAAAAAGGGGAAGAGAAAGATCGATGAACGATGAGGAAGACGAAAGATAAAAATCATTTATCGCGTTTACAATATAATAATCGACTTACGATCTACGGACTTTTACGATCGAGAGAGACTAACGACGAGAAGCACGGACTGCTTGTTTAGAAGAAAAATTATAATTAAATATTAAATTTCAAAAATAAAAAATCAAAATTAAATATTATCAAAATTCCTTTTTACAGTTCTGCAATATCTTGTGTTTGGAATGCATATATAATCTTGCTTTCGCCATTACGACGCCAACCATTCTTTTTCATCTATTAAGATATATATTACTCAAAATATAACATCTAATAAAAAAATAAAATTTTATATGATATATTGCGTATATATAATTGAAATAAATTGTAGAATAATAACAAAGTATTAATATAAATAATATAAATATAGAATTTTTATCTCTTTTAAATATCAGAATTTTTCTTTCAGACATTTCCTTGAGAATTCTTAGTTTTTAAATTATTAATTAAAAAATATTGTATTATCATCTTCAAAAAATATTGATAAATGATGAAGATACAATAGCAAAAAATTAATAAATATTCAACAGCCACAAAATTGAGTTTTGCATGTATGTATAAAGATTCATCTTTATATGAACACTATTTGATTTTTATCATAGTTTTATCTCTTTTAATTTTATCGTTTACACATTTGTAAAACTATAGAGCCCTAAAAATATATCTACTATACTTTTACAATTTAATAGAAAATTTGTTCTTCAAATCTCTCAGACATCTCTTCAAATGTTCAAATTTAGGCACAGTTAGAGCCAATTAATATTGATGAGAAAACCAAACTACATAATACCAGCTTTTTTTTCGTACTCTCAAATCCAATAAAAAAAAAGGATTATGTACACTTTCCGAGCTTCTCAACGATTCTCTCTCCTTTAAAAGGAAACGGCGAAGAAAAACGATATTCGCCATTTCGCTAAACCGTGCAACCTGCGTCCGACGTCGTCGGCACGAAGGGGCTACCCTGCCGATAGAAATCGGTCTCGTATTCCTCGACCTTCACCGGATACTCGCTCACGCAGTTCTGCGGCTGATTCAGGGCCGGTGGTGGTTGCTGCTGTTGCACGAAGTTGTCCTGATAGCTGGGCAGCTGAAGAGGCTCGGCGTACTGTTGGTAAGACGTTGTGTCCAGGCCCTGCTTCAGACAGGTCGGACTGTGAAGGCTCAGCATGTCGACCAGCCTGCGCCTCTGAGTCTCCAGTTCTTGGATCTGGGACTTCAGATCGTGGTTCTGCGTCTCGAGGATCTCCGACTCCTGCACGAGGATCACCGTTTTCTCCCGCTTCTTCAGCCGACACTTGGTCGCCGCAATCTTGTTGCGCTCGCGTCGTCGTCGTCGTCGCTCCTCGTCCTCCGGTGTCAGCTATAAACGACAAGAATTCTGCATTTTTTTTTTTTTCCTTTCTTCCGCCTTTCGTGAGAGAGGAAGAAATTTCTTGGGATATTCTCGGTTCTTTTGTACTAGGAAATTTTCTTATTATTCATCGAAATCATCTTCGGATGTCTTAAGGTTTTGAAATGTTGAAAAGGAACCTTTCGTGAGAGAGGAAGGAAATTTCTTGGGATATCCTCGGTTCTTTTGTCACTAGGAAATTTTCTTATTATTCATCGAAATCATCTTCGGATGTCTTAAGGTTTTGAAATGTTGAAAAGGAACCTTTCGTGAGAGAGGAAGGAAATTTCTTGGGATATCCTCGGTTCTTTTGTCACTAGGAAATTTTCTTATTATTCATCGAAATCATCTTCGGATGTCTTGAGATTTTGAAATGTTGAAAAGGAACCTTTCGTGAGAGAGGAAGGAAATTTCTTGGGATATCCTCGGTTTTTCTTTTGTCACTAGGAAATTTTCTTATTATTCATCGAAATCATCTTCGGATGTCTTGAGGTTTTGAAATGTTGAAAAGGAACCTTTCGTGAGAGAGGAAGGAAATTTCTTGGGATATCCTCGGTTCTTTTGTCACTAGGAAATTTTCTTATTATTCATCGAAATCATCTTCGGATGTCTTGAGATTTTGAAATGTTGAAAAGGAACCTTTCGTGAGAGAGGAAGGAAATTTCTTGGGATATCCTCGGTTCTTTTGTCACTAGGAAATTTTCTTATTATTCATCGAAATCATCTTCGGATGTCTTGAGGTTTTGAAATGTTGAAAAGGAGCCTTTCGTGAGAGAGGAAGGAAATTTCTTGGGATATCCTCGGTTCTTTTGTCACTAGGAAATTTTCTTATTATTCATCGAAATCATCTTTAAATGTCTTGAGGTTTTGAAATGTTGAAAAGGAGCCTTTCGTGAGAGAGGAAGGAAATTTCTTGGGATATCCTCGGTTCTTTTGTCACTAGGAAATTTTCTTATTATTCATCGAAATCATCTTCGGATGTCTTGAGGTTTTGAAATGTTGAAAAGGAGCCTTTCGTGAGAGAGGAAGGAAATTTCTTGGGATATCCTCGGTTCTTTTGTCACTAGGAAATTTTCTTATTATTCATCGAAATCATCTTCGGATGTCTTGAGGTTTTGAAATGTTGAAAAGGAGCCTTTCGTGAGAGAGGAAGGAAATTTCTTGGGATATCCTCGGTTCTTTTGTCACTAGGAAATTTTCTTATTATTCATCGAAATCATCTTTAAATGTCTTGAGGTTTTGAAATGTTGAAAAGGAGCCTTTCGTGCGAGAGGAAGGAAATTTCTTGGGATATCCTCGGTTTTCTTGTCACTAGGAAATTTTCTATTTATTCATCATCTTCGGATGTCTTGAGGTTTTGAAATGTTGAAAAGGAGCCTTGAAAGAAAAGTTCGGATATTTTTGGATCTTGGTGATTGGTAAAAGATCCTGCATTTTTGTCTTCTTTTAGGAGTAGAAGGAAGTTTCTTGGATCTTCAATTTTCTTGTTAGGAAATTTTATTTGTTATTAGGTTCTTTTCACACGTTTGCCCATTTTCATTTTAAAGCGTGTTAGAAATTTCTTGAATTGCGCCAATCTTGATGTTAAAAAAGATTAATACGACCGATTGCTTTCACAGAATAACCCAATCTTTAAATTCGTATACATATTTCAATTTTTATTTTAAAGCTTTCGAAACTGTAATTTCAATCGTAAAACTCCATTTGTTTCCCGCTGAATAAAAACGACCGATAAGCCATTTGAGAAAGGATGTTAATCGTTCACAATTCGTTGCACTTTCACGCGCATTAGCAAGAATTCATATAAAGGTGTTAATCAATGCTTCACTTGAAGCTCGGCTTGATCTTTATATATAGCGACAGAAAATAAACGAATGTATAATGTTTTTGCATTTTCAAAACTTTTACGCAAAGTTTTGAATGAAAATTATTTCTGATTTCGCTTCTAACAGTAAGTAAAAAATATATTTTTAAATTATTACATATTATAACAATGTAATATATATAATTTATAATGTAATTACAATATTAAACATTATACATTATATTGTTATAATTTTGTTATAATATATTATATAATACATAATATAATATTATAGAATTTATATTATAGTATAAAATTTCGAATTGCAATTTTAAAATGAAAAATATCCGCAAAATCTCGACTGAAACTTTTGTCGTTAAAACGAAGTCTCAATATTTTATTCCAGAGAGAAAACAAACAATTTTTGTATTTCATTTTTAACAAACTTTATTCCGTCTAATAAAAAAAAAACCTAATAATATTATAGCTTTGAAAAAATGTTTTCTGATTGAACAAAGCGCGTGCGTCGAAGAAAATTAATTCCCGTTTGAATTTTTGCTTTTAAAATAAATGATTTTATTTTATTCATCTTTTTTTATTTATGTATCATAGGCTGTATATTTTTTGCCTTGACATTTCTCAGCTACAATAAATTTTATTGCAATATCTGTTCGTTTACGAAATTTCCAATGTGCAACATTCTTAAAAAAGTAATTTATTTTGATATTACGCTTATGTTATTCAAAATAAATAAATAAATAAATAAAATATATCGCAAATATTAAACTTTAAATTTTAAATTAACACCAAATTTTACTAATCATGTATATTCACACAATTTATATATATTCATTAGATAGTCTATCTTGTAAAAAACAGTTATGTATATTGATTATTATTATTCTGTATTTTTTATGTTAGTAACATTAAATTTGCTTAAAAATAAAAAGAAAAAAGCGGGACAAAGCGGAGAAATGAAAGTGTTTTTTAAAATGGAATTGAAAACACATGTTTTACGATTACAAATGCGCAATTCGCAGAGATTAAGACACAAGCGCGTTATTTCTTCGAGTTTTGAGATTCTGCTAATTTTAGCAGCGTGCACTTCGAATCGTAAACACAAACGATCCTGCGCGTAGCATGCAAATTCGCGAATACCGAAACTGTCGAAACAGCCCGCCGGCGTCTGTCAGAATTAATCTATTCGCACACGCGAATAGTCGCAACAATAGTCAAGGACACAAGAAAGGATCGAAAGGATCCGACGTCTGGGATCGAAAGATCGTTTCAAACTCCATCTAGGAGACTATCAAGAGCGATATGGAATTTTGTAGATATTCAATGCAATATATAATGCCTCAATATCATTAACTGAGTAATTATATACTATGACATTTTATCAAATTTTCGAAAAAATAAATTATCAATTCTCAAAAATTCCTCGTAATTCTTAATATAATTAATGAAATTACATTAATACGAAAAATGATGAAAAATTGTGAAAAAAATGCACAAGAGACAAAACGGTATCAACTTTGATTTTTGCACAAAATGTACGTAAAGTTGGCTCTATATCGTGTCTCTGAGAAAAAACTAGGTGAATAAAATATATGAAAATTGACTTACGCCACTTCTGTTGTTGTTGTTACTGATTTCATCCTCCTCCTCGTCGTCGGCGCCGCTGCCGTCTTCTTTCTTCGTCTTCTTCTTGCCGTCATCGCCGCTGACAGTCGCCCGCCTCTTCGTCTGCAGCGTCAGCTTCAGCCCTATCCAAGGCAATTCAATTGATTCTCATTGATTAACTTCGTTCCCAGATACATCGACAAGACGTTCAGAGAAGATCGCGAATCCATTGGGAGTTCTCAAAGACGTGGTTAGAAATTACACGCTGTGTGGGAGGAACGGGAGATGATGTCCTCTTTCTTTTACTATTTTATTAAAATATAAAATAATATATATATATATTATTTGACTTTCAAACTCTTGCACTCTCGTTTAAAAATCCAGTTTCATTGTAATTTCCATTTTAACATCTTTTTATTTTAATTTAAAAAATAAGATTTTATATATATTCGGGCGTTTATCAAAAATGTTATATTAATAGTGTGTTATTAGTTTTAAAGGTAATTCTATTGTGTAAATATGTAAATAATCGTGTTCTCATTTATAAAAGATCAAAAGATCGAACATATAGATATGCATGTAACACACAAGATATAGTAATCACATCTTATTTCGCATATATATCTTAACATTACGAGATTGTAGACTTCCGCCGGAGAACAGGACTTGAAAAATAACGCACAATATATTACTGCCATAGAAAATGACAGTGATCGTTAACATTTCCACGGTATGTACAAGGACATTCTCGTAACCTTCGTGGGACTAAATTGCGATAATTGAGAATTATTTATGTCAGAGCTCACCCGACACACAATCCGTTATCAAAGCGTTACTCTATGCAAATTCCTACATTTCGAGAATCAACTTAATTTCAACTAATTAATTTGGTGATTAGTATAGAACAGATCGATCTGATCTGGGCAAACAAAACCGTCAAGTAATTACGATAATGATCCTCTCTTCTGCATTCTACATATATGTAGAAATGTATATGTATATATGTATGCGCGTGCGTACATGTTACGTAATTCGTAATTTGAAAGGAACAGGATTCGCGATTTAATGCGTTGCGATGTAGTCAGTACAAGAAGAGCGAAACAAAAAAGAGAGAGAACGCATTTATTATTCAGCGAAACGAACATCTAACGATATGTCATTCACTGATATTCGTTAAATGTGTTATAGATAAAGTAGAGATGAAATAAGTGCAAATTTTACTCAGATTTGATCTAGATTTGTTCTCTCCCTCTTCTCATATTGTGTAATTTATATTTTATAAGAAATGTCACTTAAATGTCGCTTAAATATTTTTTCACGTAAAATTATATATATATAAAAATATACAAAGAAAAAAGAGAGCATTCGATTTTTAAAAAAAGTAGAGATATATAAAAAATTAAATATTACAAATATATCTTATTTGTTCTTTATGTATATTAATTTAAATTAATATTATTAAATATCTTTATTATAAAACACTACACATTGGTAATAAATATATAGATACACACTATTTTCTCTCATTATTCAATCTTCAAGAAATCTGTCGTTAACGAATCCTTAATTCAATATCCTGTAGAAATAAAGTCTATTCGAAATCGTGTATTCTTGTATTGATGTATTCGACCGTGTGCGATTTCTTAATCTTTCTCGAGAAGAATTGTACTCTTATTCATTCATAACTTTCTTTCATATAAAATTGACACCTTGACGTCTTTACCGCTTTTTATGTGAAGGAAAGTCGCGACTATTTTTTTTCGAGAATTTACAAAGTGAAATTCTCCGCAAATTTCGCTCGTAAACAGTGTTATGCTTAGATAGTTTTTAAATTAACTAGATAAAAATGAGACAAAAATATGTGAATTCATCTTAGATAAAATGAAGATGATTTTGTCGTAAATTTATCATAAATTTAACATAAATATTTAACATAAATAAAATATTTTTTAATACAATAATATAATATTATATTTCATAATAAAACATATTTTAATATACTTCATATAAACCTAATAAATTTTATATTCTTTAAAGGTATATTTGAAAATAAAATCAAAGGGACAATTTTTTTTAAATTCCTTGAGTTCAAAATAAATTCCACGAGTATTCCAGAATTTTTCAAAGTATAGTATACACCTTGATATTTTTATTATCTATATAAAGCTAAGATGACGCCAAAGTTTCATCTATACAGATGATCTAGATGATTTCATCTATATAATTTGATTTAGATAACAGCAAACACTGCTCCGTCCGTAGATCGCTATTTACGCGACCGTCGTGCGTGTCATCTACTCACCTTCCTTGATGAGCTGACTACAGGTGTGCTGGACGCTGGGTGGGCTCGGCTCGCCGCTACTAGTCGAGTCCGTACGATCCCGGGTGCCCTTCTCGTTACCGCTGCCGTAGCCCTCGAAGGGATTGGTCATGGCGATCAGCGAGTTTACGATTTCCGGTGTCCTTGGCGTGACCTCGGCGGCAGCCGTCGTGACACCGAGAAGACCCGCAGCCCCGGTCGGGCTGGGATTCACGTTCACGTTCAGATTGTACATAGTTTACGCCAGGCTTTCACCATTTATCTAACCTGGAAACACAAGCGGAGAGGTCACTGCGTGAAACAAGCTAAACTAATTAAGGCTGAAAGCGCGCTAAGTGTAATTGGATGTTTCGCGAGGATAAATTTAGCTTTTATTTATTTTTTTATATTAGCTTTAGTTTTAATAAATTAAAAAAGGAAAGCTGTAAGAAAAATTGAAATTATTAAAGATTAATGGGAAATGACTAACGCGGGCAGTTGGCATCATATTTATTCTTTCATTCGTATTTTTTTTTTTTTATATATTTTTTTCCATTTTTATACCATAATTCTTACAATTTTTTATTATTTGGATTTATTTAAATTGATTAGATTTGTCTTTGAAACATTTTTTGTTATATTTAATATCCTTTATTAACTTCAGTCTAAAGCTAAAAAAATATTTCAAAGACAAATTTAATCATTTTCAATAAATCCAAATAATTAAAGAGAAAATAAAAAAATATGGTACAAGATGGAAAATAAATTTATATTTAGAAAAAAAGAATGAAAAATCAATAATAGAGAGATGAAGGATATAACAGGTGTTTGCCTTTATTACACGATTAAAATAAATCCAATGTATGTGTATATACATTATTGAAACAATTGTTTAATGTGTATATCATTTACTTCGTTTTACGTATATCACATTAATATATGATATACGTAAAACGAAGTAAATAAAGGAGAAAGAGACTGACATAAAAATCGTCACAAACGAGCCTAAATTTTTTAGCATTCCAGCGTGGCCTATAATTATAAGTCGAGAGGAACCCGTGCGAGTTCTCGAAATAAATTATTCTGCGAAAACCGCAATCAAGGATGTCGTCCGTTCTCTATCGCTTCACTCCGCGGAGACTTGTCTTTCCGGAATTCTCGAGAAAGATTGCGAATCTCGTTATATTGTATTACGCGAAATGTGCGCAGAGTAACGTGATTTTGCGGCACTATCGCAAAAATGAATAATATCAGGATCTTATTTCGTGTATTATAAAAAATTCATACATCCTGACTATTTCGTTCAAGCGCCAATAAGTGAATTTGCCACAATTGCAAGAGTAATTTTTTGTCTTGCTAAATATTATTTTATATAAGTATAATCTATTGTCATTTTATAATTATAATTTCTTTTATATTATATTTTACATCCATGTGATATGATTATGTCATCATAATTAATTAAAATTAAATAAAATAATTAATTTATAATTATATATCACTTTGATTGAAATTTCCTGATGGTATTATATAAAAGATAGCTTTCATCCAAACATATCTTAAATATCTTATATTATCGCACTTCAAATATATCATAAACAAACATTAAAATAACATTTATAAATATTTATTTTGTCTTTTTTTCCTGGTAGAAACGGTATCATAGTTATGTCGGAAATTGCCAATCCTTATCGATGCGATCGCGGCCTTCGCGATCTATCAATGATCGATGCACCCGCCCACGAATCGACTCGATTTAACAACACCTGTACAATTAAACTACCGATAACGAGACATGAGAAGGCAATTTCGTTCTAACCAATTTTGAAAATTTTATTAATTTCATTGAATATAATCATACCTTAAATTTTTTAATAATTAAAAAAAATTAATATATTATTTCTTTTATATTTATCACTCTTTGTGCTCGTGTAATATTAAAGAATTATATCTATTATCTGGTTTTAACTTATTGTTAGTTTTCTAAATAAAATTAAAAGGTAATAAAAGCATTTGTTTCTTTCAAATGTGTAGATTTCTTTAAACCATTTTTTTAAATAAATTATGCATAAATATGATTATAATTAATATTTATAAAATCGTGATAAATAAATAAAAATAATATAAAAATTATATATTAATATATCAGTTATGTTTTCACATTTTTCAAGTATTTTTTTTAATGGGATTTTAAAATTTTACATATGCGTATACCGTATTTCTTTCAATATCATATACTTCCGACAGCATTGTATGCTAAAAAATGAACCGTTTCTCTGTCTGGTCGTATTTGACTGGTCTGTGGTGAACGCATCTATCAAAATTATTCTTGACATGGATTGACAACCTTTTAGTTCTCACTTGTTCGTTTGCTTGCCCACCCACAGTGAGTTTTCTCGCCACCTTTTTCAGCAACACACCGGATACACTGGGGTATTCATTATATTTCGATATTTTTACGAGTGCGGACTAGTAATGAGTTATTACATAATCCGTACGTTTCCATGAAAATATAAAAAAAATACCTTATCTATATACAAATTTAAATTGCCATTCCAATAAATTATAGAGTTTTTAATATTTCATATTAAAGAGTTTTTAATATATTCTTTTCAATAAAATTTAAATTTCAATGTTAATTTTATGCATATTGACATAATGTTACATAATGTTATATGTACATAATTTATATGTAAATTTGGTTTTTTTATTTATTTATAATTGTAAAATACTTTAAATTTATACATTTTAACAATTAAACTGTGTGAATATAATAACATAATTTTTTTATACCATAGTATATACTCCAATTAATAATATATTAAAAAGTGATTCTATTTGTGAATGTGATATACCTAATATTTGTAATTGCGCTCACGACTCGCGGGATTCAAGAGATTGATTTCAATTACTATCAATTTTCGTATATAATAATGATTCGTCGCCCCGTCACTTTTGCGGTCTTTCTCTCTCTCTCTCTCGGTCTTATAAATCATTGATTAACCTTATCCTATCAGATAGCGATAATGAATCGTGATCATTGACTTTGAACGGAGATATATGTATACTGATCGTGAATAAATTTAAATCCTATTTATATTCTTAAGTATTGAGAGATCCTTACATGTGTCGATTACATGCAAGAAATTTGCTATCATGACGGAATTCCACTTTGTTTGTATTTCCGAGTATTTTGCAACAGCTTTTTGAAAAAGATATTATATCAAAAAAATATTGTATATAATAAAACGAATCCCGATTCCACGATTGCGCACAAAAATCTCCATTCATTATTGTGAAATTACTTTGTTGTGAAATTACTCTCAAATTTCACAGAAAGAAAGTATTGCTTATTCATATAATAAATAATTTTGCATAAAACAATGAATTTCTAATGGCAATAGATAGACACAACTGTTCGTAAATAATCAACATTTTTCAAGATATTTGAAAAATATGTGTTCTTTATAATTCTCCTTATTAAAAATATATTGTGTGGTATGCGTGTATGTTTTGAGAAGATGGTTTAGAATTTATTAGAATTTGTTAAAATAATCTATGAATTTGTGACAGGAAATGTGACTTTAAAATTTCTCGCTGAATTATATAATGCGATTCAATTAATGTTTACACATGTACCTCTTTTCAGCATTTTTAATACTCTCAACACACACACTCTCTCTCTCTCTCTCTCTCTCTACATCTCGCGCTTCTCTACATCCTCACATCTTCCACTTCGCTTCGACCTCAATTCGCTACATTCCTCTCAATCGCGCTGGTACTCGTGTGGCGCTGTTTTATCTCCGTAAATAAATCATTAAAGATAGTATTAAGAGATACATATTTTCTTCGAAGCGCGAACATGTGGTGATCTCGCGATGTAGCTCGTCATATCGCGCTTGCTGACAATTCTCTCGGAAAGGATTCTCGAAGCTTCCCACCGAGCTATTCCCATCGCTTTTATAGCAACTCTATATATATATATATTTTATTTTTTTAAATTGAATTGAAATTAAGAAAAAAGAGAAACACAAAAAAAATATTTTTAAATTCAAAATAGTATTTTTTTATCCGAATAAAATAATTGATGCTTATCACATTATCTTATAATAATGAATTGCGGGAAAAATAAAAAAAAATTCAACGGTTGAATCTTTCAAAGAACATAAGATTTTTCAACTAGCAATCGCGGAGTTACTTAATCGCAGAGAAGGATGAGAATCGCTCTCTTCCCTTTCGCTCTCTGCATGCTGGTATTTCGTAAGAATTTTATCATTCCGTATTCGGACGGGCCTAAATGCCCTTGCAACTCCTTCTCTTTCTCCTCCTTCTTGGCCTTCTACAGTACCTCCTTCTTCCACCTCCGGCTTTTTCTTCTGCTCGCGAGTAAAAAAAAAGAAAATAAGAGGATGAAAAAAAAAATAAACGACTCAGGCCTGAGATCTTTCGGGGTCCGTATATGCGCGTGACAAAGGGTCCCCTCGGTAACATACCCAATGACCTATATGTGCCGAGATGGAAGACGTGGGATGTGCTCGAAACGAACAAGAGCTCGAGCAAACATTTCGGTATTTTCTCTTTCCCTTTTCTCCTTTAATAGCGGTCAAAATCAGATACGGCGATTTTTTTAATATAATGCCTCTATTCATTTTTTAACGAAAACTACTACAGAATTTTAAAAACAGTTTTTAATTGTAATTTTTAATATATATCCATTTAAAAAAATATTTTGAATTTAAAAGTACATATATTAAATATTTTAATTATATATATTTATCAATATTTTTAAATCTTAAATACTTTAGGTAATGTTGACATTCATATTTACATAAGTATTTTATTATAGATATTTTAGATATGTGTCTTTAGTAGTTTTATAGAATTTCTTGATAAAAAAAATAATAAAAATAATTTTTATTTTTGCTTATATACTCATAAAAATCTTAAAATCGTGTCTCTTTTAATAAAATGTTTTTTTTTTTTTAAAGAGGCACAAAAACAAAATGAACATACGTCGACTAGCAACTGAATAATAGTCCAACACTAAATATTAATTTTAGTCGCAAACTATATTAAGAGCTCCACACGTGTTTATAAATCCTAGTTCAACAGCTTAGAAGAGCTTCGTAGAGCTTTCCGATTTTGTTGAAAGATGATATAAGATGCGGCTAGGAAAATTCACGGATTTACAGACGACGATGTCTGACGTCTACTGGCGACGTTGCAATGTGAAATAATAATCGGGCCGCCTTTCGCGTTTGTTTGAATGGGAACAGGTGTCCGATCGA